GAAAAATTTAAATATCGACTTGGACCGCAACGAGGAGCACGTGCTAGCGTTTACTCGGCCCGGGGATATAGTTATCTTATGTATACTGCAAGGTCCAAGTAACAACTACTACAAATGTATAACCGTTCTGTTACGTACGATACAAGCAACGTGTATTTGCTGCGGCTTACATTCAATCAATTTTAGATTATTTTATAACATCACTACACAACCGTGGTCCTCAGGGGCTAAGCTCGCTGTAAATATCACAATACGTGAGTAACCCAGGCTCGAACCCCGCGGGAATCAATGAAATTGTTAGTTACAACTTTAAGTGTTGATTTACCACGTACTCTACGGTGTAAATCAACACTTAAAGGTGTTGATTTACACCGTAAAGTACGTGAAAGGTGAAGGAAAATATTGTGAGGAAACATGCATGTCTTAGAAAATTAAAAAAAAATATTTTGAAGACATGTGAAGTCTGTCAAAATTTTGGCAGCGTGGTGGACTTCTCCTAGCCCTGAAACCTTCTCGGAAATGAGAGGAGGCCTGTGCCTAGAAGTAGGATGTAGTAGACACTAACTTTAACACTACACGACAAAATATGGCTGCGTGCACTCACATCTATCGACCATTTTATACATGTTATTTATAATTAGCAATTAGTTTAAAATCACTTAATTAAGATATAGTTTTTACGAATTTTATCGCGTATTTAAACGTATTTTATATTTCCGACGTTTCAAGAAATAGATAGAATTAAATAGATTAAGCAGGTCGATAGCGCAATGTCATAGTTAACCACGGCTACCACCAGGTAAATATTATAATGTGTGCTCGTTTGTCACCTTTAATCTATAAAAAAACAATAACTTTTTATAAAAAGTAAAAGCCGAATTCAGCTAACTTATAAAAAAATACAATAATTTTACATTTTGAAGTTGGGGCTTGGTTCTTCTCTACAATATAGAAGTTGTTTACAGTACAATCTCTATTTATAAAAATCATTTGACATCCGTTAGTCTCGCTAAAACTTGAAATTGGTTCCACCGGTTCTGATGAATTTTTTTGTGTGTGTTTGTGTCCTTGGATGGTTTAGATTCCTAATTAGACCTGGTAGGTAGAAATTACCCTTGCGAAGCCGGGATGGATGGCTAGTAAAGAATAAATAAACAGATGTACAATAGTATGTTATTACTCTAAACTCATGGCAGAATTAAGTTGACGCGTTAATATTGTCGGTAGTTGAAGTTAGTTTCATGAATATCACCAACACGGCAAAGGTTTTTTCTTTCCTGGTCACATCTTTATGTCTATTGTACTCAACACTGTATGTAGCGCTAATTATATTAATTATTATTGAAGAGATTATCGTAACTACCCAACTATATTGCAAATAAAGTTTGATGGAATTACAACCGTAATGAAAAATAAAATAGATTCATTTACTACTAATTTAAGTAATTTGAGACCTCAGAAACTACGTGAATATCCATTGCGACCCAGTGTTGATAACTTGATAACTAGCTTGTGCACGAAATTCTAACATGATATAAATAGTTTATGAAGACATAAAATCAAACTGTTCTTGGAATTTTTAAACATAAAAATGAGTAAACAAGGGAATAAGGTAAACTTTATCAATTATCAACGAGATGTAAATCGATTCGTGGAATTGTTTTTCCCAATAATCGTCTAAATGTAGACAACATATCGAATCTTTGAAACTCGATTTAAAGTTGACATTTAATTAATTCATTCATTCATTATGCTATATCGAAGTCCATTACTGAATATAGTTCTCTAAATTACCTAATATTTTGCCTTTTTTTACGTGTAGACATATTCATGCCTAAAATACCTAAAAATAGCGCAAACAACATTAGCCTTTTGCTTTTTTTCTATCCAATCGTAACTATCACTGGTTGACGTGAGTCTCTCACTTTTATTAACAATTATAAAGCTTCATAATCACTATTAAAGCTGTTAACAAGGCCTACCGCATAGTTCTACCCCAAATGAATGCCATAAAACACGTTGCTGATCCACTTCTATCATTTATCCATCGACTTCCTGCATATCTTACTAGGTTATCACACTATGTAAAGCTTAAGATTAATTTTTAAATAAATCAAAAAAATATGAAAAAATTGGACTAATAAAGGTATTTTTACCTAACATCTTATTACATACCTAACTATATCAAAAAAATATGCTGACTGCGTTTTCTGCTAATTGACCATACTGAGATTTAAGTAAAAGGATCAGTCTTCCTGTAACCAGCGGCGACGACTAATCTACTACTAGTTTACAGTTCCTTTGAAAACTTCATCGCTCAAGGATTCCAAGAACTGAAACTTCACCGCTCAAGGGTCCCAAGAATTGACAGATTGCCTCTAAAGCAAAAGGCCTCAAAGGCCTGGCTCTCAGAGCAAAGACTTATTTACATAATTTATCCAGTTACTACCCTCGTTTGATTCCGCTCCGGTCTTAAATGATGTATTTGTATGAACGGCCGCCAGTGTCTAAGCACATATCATCATCACATACAAGATTTAACCTCTGTTTCAAGGGCCTTACAGGATTATACTGGAAAAAATAGCGTGGGATTAGATCATTCCTTTTGTGTTTATTTGCAACGATTGTTTTCGTACCTACATAGAACTGTTAATAATTATTTAAAATATTTTTAATTGTGTGAAAAACGGAGGAGATTTTATTTAAACAAATATTTTATTTCATTGATCAGGTTACTCGCAGTTACGAGTATAATGTTAATTTGGTTTTAGGTACCAATTTATACATATTGTATGAATATGTAAAAAACGTATATAATATTAAAATTATTATATAATATTATATTTTAATGACTGACATGACTCTTTATTAAAACACACAGTCATCTGATGGTAAGTGGATGCTGTGGGTCATAGACATTTACATCTATCTTCGATTAAGAATCAAAATGCAGTTGTATTGTTACCTCAGAGGACTTGAGAACTTTTTCAGTTAAGATCTAAGATGAAACGCTTCCTTTCCAACAACGGTTCTCCACACTCACCATAGGAAACACAGCAGCATTAAGCTGTTATTTTACGCTGGTATTCTGTAAGAGCGTGATCCTTTCCCGGTCGAGCCGACGCACTCATGCAGCGTGTTTCTGCCGCATATAAATTTTTTACTCTCTTATATTAATAATAAAACAACTATAATATTAATAAGAAAAAGAATTTTAATCAGTATAAAAAATAGTTTTACCAAACGTAATACAACAACCAAACGTATTAATTCAGCCGGGACAAAATGGTTTTATCACATTAAAACGCAATTGAACCATTCTGGAATGTTTGTCCTAATCTATGATGTCATCGTCAACTAAAATGTAGATCGATAATTCAATAAAAATTGAATACCTTTTAACGGAAGTGAGCACCTTAAGCTGATAACTAAATATATTTGAATCATGTAACGCCGTTAAGCAATGATGACAAACACAGCAAATATTTGACTGACGATTAATGTCAATGATAATAAATAAATGATAGTAAAATACAAAATTTTTTTTGTTAAAAATAATGATTGATACGTCAAAATATCTATTGGTCATCTATTTAATATTTTATAAGTTCAGGTATGTTAGCTCAGCTTTGGTAGCTCAGAGATTATAACAGTATGCGAGCAACTCGGCTTCGATCAACGCTGGCAGCTATGAAAGTATATAATATGTAACTATATGCTGTACTCTCAAAACTGACCCTGATTGACTATAACTTAAGAACGTTGAACAACACAGTTTTGCGAAACTATTAATGTAATAATAAATATATGTAAAAATAAAACGCAATAAAATCCTGAATTGAACGCGTTGGTAGATTCACAACTTGATAACAAATTAATTAATATTAACAAATTTCAAAGCAAACGCCATTTGCTGAAATCAAAACAATTGTTTTTTAAATATTTCAATAAGGTTTTAACTCACTTAAAGTAACACAATAAAAGCTTATATTGTATAAATGAAATAAATAAAGAAAGAAATTCCATAGAGGCAAAAAACAAAATATACTACGATCTTCACCAAGAGATTTAATCTTATTGTTATTGTTACAGTCTATTAAAGTCCATTGATGAAAATGTCTCTCCGATAGATTGCCTCACAGGAGGAATATATGCCATAGTAGTCACACTTGGCAAGTGGTTTGGCAACCGCATTTTTTTTATTTTTAACTGTTATTAAGAAGTCGCAGCTGCCAATCTCCTGATTTGTTTTGCTCTGTCGACTCTTGCGACACGCACGGGATGATATGGGGTAGTGGTATATTTTTACACCGCACTACACGGTAGCTTTAAGCACAAAACTTATTTTAAATAAGGTTTCAACTCGATTACAAAAACAATATGCATAAACTGGTTAAATTCACCCGGTAGAAAGCACAAAGTGGATGCACAGTGGGCTCATGCATACATTCAGTTAAATAGTGTAATAAATATTTACAATATTTTTTTTGTATTTACATAAAATTGATGTTATAATTAGCTTATTTATTTTTCAGGTACCAACAGCTGACGGGAGAGTCTTGCTGAAAAGTTTAAATTCAAGCAGCGACAATGAAGACTGATTTACTTAAGCCAATTTATTCTATAGGCAATATTTAATCTTATTTATTACATTAGTTTAAGTGTAAGTAATATAAACTTTATTAAAATAACAATAAAGTGACATTCAATAATATACCTGTACATAAAAAAGTGGAAATACACCAGCTTTCTGTATGTATGACGAATTACCTAAATAATTCAAACACGGAGTGCACTGTGTTTCGCCAAGATTTTAATTATTAATACGCTGGCGATATCTTAAAATGTCTCTGTTTGACATCTAATTTTGTTGGATCCGATCCTAAATTAAAGCATTTCCAAGACAATTATTATGCATTGGCTCCCATAAATTTCCTTGGTATCAACACTCTGTAAAAATAAATGGGCTCAGCGTGTTTGGTTGGAGTCCCCACGAGCTGTCAATCACCAGAGCCTGTCAACCAGCAAGGTGCAGATGAGGCTGGCACATGATCCTTCACACATTATAACCATTTACTAAATTACTTGCAATTATATTATATTATTAGTTACACTTGTTTTTTTTTAATTATTTTAATACAAAATAATATAATAAAATATTGTGTCTTTACTAGTTCCACGTTATAAAAGTTATATGTCTACCAGAGTTTTTATATTTAATGAACCATTGACAAACTGTAATCATATGTTATTACAATTCTCTCTTCCATTGCTAATATATTATTTATTATAGTAACAAAAGTGTGTTTAAAAAATTAATCAATGGCCGTGCTATATCGTTGTTTAATTTTTTGTTATATATATTTCACAGAAAACTAATTAGTTGTTTGTTTTGTTTAACAAACTGTTTTTTTTACTAAACGGCGCCGTTCAACTATTGGCCTGAAAAATATTCAGCCAATGCGTCTAATACAACATTGCACTTATCTCGTTATATCAGCGACGGTAGGTTATAGTGCGGTGGTGGTGGTGGGCCACCCTTAACGGCGTACATTTATGTAATTATGGCATGATTACTCCATTAATTTTATTTATCGAGACGGTCGCTGGTCTTTGAGTTAAACGGCGCCGTTTAGTAAAAATATTAGGCTGTTAACAAAAGTCTAATTACGCTAATTGGCTAGGACATATATGATTTATAGTTAGAATTTTCAAGAATGGAACCTTAGTTCGCATAGAGTAATGTAGTTTGGAGTGGTGAATCATTTCGGTAGTATAGAGTCATAAATGAATACACATCGTTTTCGTAGTAAACATACGATGGATCGCCAGTGGCACATTGACAATGCAATTGCATGATGTATGCTATGAGTAAAAATGTGTTTGCACACATTATTTAAGGCATTGTACTCGGAAATAGTTGAACGTCCCAGGGAGGATATTAGTGATGTAACAAGTGAGCTTTAAATCTATAAATTATAAGTTGTAATAAATTATTAAGCTAAGATTTTTGCATTGACATTGTTTATGATTATATAAGACTTTTAAAATTTATATTAGTTAAAAATATCTATTCTAATCTTATGTAGTCTTTGAGTTGCTTTATTGTGATAAAGCATAGAAGTAGAAAATAGGAAACTAAGTGTATAATAATTCCAACTCTTTATTATTGGGCTCTCTGACAACCTCAATCTCTTAAAGTAAATTTACATGACACGATCGTGACATGCCACCATTCAAAGATGATGATGAAAAATGAAGATTATTATGTTATTTATTTATATTATAAATATATTGTATTCTAAAATGTGTTATTTATTGTTAACTGCATTTTTTGCTTGAGTTTTGCACATTATACACACTGGCGTAGCAGGAGAGGAAATGGCATAGCGTCGAGCGACAGATTTTAGGAGGCGCCATTTTGGGAAGGAAGGCAAAAACGCGCTATAATTTTTTTCAATGATATTATTAAATGTCATTAATAATATAATCCTGTCATCCTATTCCTCATTGTGAGCGCAGTTCCAAATTATTACTAAACGTGGTTTATATTTAGTCTCAAATTCAAACTAGAATCTGATTTAATAAAGTGGTAACGTGGAAAATATACGAACTGAATTGTAAAGAAATTTAAAATATCGGAGCAAATGTCAAATTTCGCGAAGACCGAAACCGAGACTATCAATAAATCAGGTTTTCTAATAAGAACGATAAAGCAAACTCATCATTAGATTATCTTGATTGATATTCGCTAGGTATTTCGTTACTAACAGACCTATTATGATCTCTGGACACATTTGGGAGATAAATTCAGAATCGGCACTGATTCACATATCGTTATGATATCACATCTGAGATCATTTTCAAGTAGTTTTTGACAGTCAAAGCTTTTTAATATGAAATTATTATCATATAATTATTATAGATAAAAATGTTTATAACCAATTATTATGACTTGAATCACAGGAACGAATAAAACTCTACTATATCGCCTCCACGATACGGAAGCTCGTTCCATTATGTGCTAGATGTAATAACTGTGTATTTGACATTGATTTGCTTATTATCTAATATTAATATTCATTATAAAAATTGTGTCTGTTATGCCATTGTTGCCATTTTAATAGGAAATAAAATATAAAAACATGACTTCGAATTTTATTTTTAAAGAGTGTATATATTTGCATATAATACAATCTATTCTAGTGTCATAATTATCATCATTACAGCCCTTCACAAGTCCACTGCTGAACATAGGCCTCCCCCAAGTAATGCCACAAAGCACGCTCCTGAGCCAACTGCATCCATTGACTTCCTGCATGTCTTACCAGGTCGTCACTCCATCTAGTGGGGGGTCGCCCTACACTACGCCTACCGGTACGAGGCTGCCACTCGAGAACCTTTCTTCCCCATCGGTTATCGGTTCTTCAAGCTATATGGCCGGCCCATTGCCACTTCAGCTTACTAATCCGTTGGGCTATGTCGATCACTCTGGTTTTACTGCGGATATCCTCATTTCTGAGTCTATCACGCAGAGAAACTCCAAGCATAGCCCTCTCCATAGCTCGCTGAGCGACCTTAAGCGTCCTCATTCGGCCAGCAGTGAAGGACCACGGTTTAGATCCGTAAGTCATCACTGGTAACACGCACTGGTTGTACAATCTAGTTTTTAGAGATTGAGGTATACCTGACGAAAAGATATGTCGTAATTTCCCGAACGCTGCCCAGCCGAGTTGAATCCGTCGATTGACCTCTCGGTCGAAGTTGGACTTACCTAGTCGGACTTGGAAACAACGGGTCAAATTGTCGTTGTTTTTGTTGTAATGGCACCTACATACATTAATAAATATTGAATCTATCGTTATACATTTAACAAATAAAAATATTTATTGAAAATTTATAAAGGCTGTAGACATCTACCTCTATACTCAATAAAGAATCTAATAAAATTATACTTGGTAGAGCCGCACTGCTGCTATAATATGGTTGTAGCAAAAATGGGTCAGCTTGAATGGGTAACCTCTTACGAAAACCAGCGTTAAACAACAAATTTATGGTTTTGATTTCGTATGGTAAGTGAAAAAATCGGATATCCTTTTAACTAAAAACGAGATGTTCTATATTAGTCCTCTATGGTGACAACCCATCTGCATTTTGATTCTTAGTAGGATAAATGATGGGCCTCACCGCTCACTTACCATCAGGTGGATAGCGTCTTTTTTGGCACCCTTATTCTATACAAAATGCAGATGAGTTATGACTTCCCAGGGTTAGTTTCTAAGGGATTAAAATGCCAGTAGCAAGTGTTTCCATTTAAAATTACTCGTCATAAGAAACGCAGCAGTATTTAGCACTATTTATAACTGTTACTAAGTACGCTGTTAGTGCGAACGTGGTTCTTTCCCAGTTTAGTCATTCGTGCTGCAATCTTGATACTTTGTGGTGAAGCCATACAACGTAATATTAATAATAATTTATTGTTTTTGTTAAAACCGCAAACGTAAAATCTAATAAATAATCGTTAAGTTTTTTTATTTCTTCAAGGAGACTGCAATCGCGCAGTTCATAAATATTTATGACATACTTATGTTAGTATAATTTAATATTAGTACCCGGATGACCGAGCTTTGCTCGGTTTTTTTGAGTTACATTTATATACAAATTACATGAATAATAGTTTTTAACCTTATTGACATAATAGAAAAAACTGAACTGATTATTTGAATAAAAAATCATGAGTGCAATTAGATTAATTAAAATTTTCGTATTTTTAAAAAATACTAAAAAAAGGGCTCGAAATAATAGATTTTCTCACAAAAGAAGGGAACTTGAAAAAAAAAGGAAAAAAGTCGAACTCAAGACGGGACGCGAACCACGGAACTCCGATATCACGCCCGAACAACATCCCATCTGAGCTATTACGATCGTTGGTAACCTGTTAAAATTTACCTTCTTATATTGTAGCAGTTTTATTATTGCCTGAAAACACGGACAAAGGGACATTTTCTAAAAATAAATCCTAGCTAGATCGATTTATTGCCCCCGAAACTCTCTGGACACAAAATTTTATGAAAATCGTTGGAGCCGTTTCCGAGATTCCGATTATATATATATATATATATATATATATATACAAGAATTGCTCGTTTAAAGGTATAGGATATGAACTTTAATAAAATGCGTAGCTCTGGATATAATAATTGATAATTTTACAGTATGCGAAAGTAATGATGATCCACGCGTACACAAATGATTTTTGTTATAGAATAAGGATGACAAACTAGCACAAAGTCCACCTGATCTGAAGTAGATGGCTCATAGATATCTACATCTATCCTTGACTAAGACTAATTAAAATGCAGATACGTTGTTACCCCTAAAAACTAAAATAAAATGCCTCGTTTTTTGTGAAAATTATTTTTTTGAATTTTGAAACACACATCTTCAGCTAATAAAACAGATCAATGTTACTTACGAATACAATCATTTAGAATCTAAATGATTGTATTCTAAATTTTAGATAATAATTTTATTCAATCACTTCCAAATTTTCGTTTGTTCCTAATGTCTCACAGTCCAACAGAAGCGCACAGGTATAAACCCAACAAGACATTATTTTAAACAAGAATTTAGCTTTATGGAGATGAGTTCAAATTTAAACTTTCGAATATATCGCAACTACAACAACTTCCAATATAAAGTTAAAAATATTATACGAAGAGGTGGATCGTATCAGGAAATCTTGTGGCGAATTTGAACCTATTGCACCGTCCGAGTTTTAACTTTTTTTTAAAACAACAACTTTGTTCATTAAACGTGGACGAACTCGACCCAGACTCAAATCTCTCTACAATTTTGTAAATGTCAGCAAGAATTACATTTGTTGTGGCTTCGGAACAGTCCCGATATAACATCCTTTTCCTAAGTGTTTCCTATCCTCCCGCCTCCCCCGTATACGCACTGCTCAGAATGGTGCGCCACCTATCGTAGAAAAAAAAGGGAAGATGGCCGCGCACGCATAAAACGTGTTCGTTACCGCTTGTTTAAAAATAACCAATAAATAAGTTGTAAGACTATCGTGCAATTGCTCGTGTCCATATACATTCGAAGTGCAGTGTGGTGTCTGTGTATACACGAGAACTTCAGCCTAAATATACAGACTTCACCATAACAACGATGAGTGCTCCAGTCTTGTAAGTATCCCTACCTTATCTACCCAGTTCTAAAGCTATTTTCGTTTACTTCCCGGTTGGGATCATCGGGTTAGCCAGCCCTTGGTCTGGTTGTTCTCTGGTTCCCAAAACCACCCACGAAACACATTGCGAAACATTCAAGCCGTAACAACATTTTTTTTAACAAAAACGAGCACACAGTCCACCCGATTGTAAGTAGATGTTATGATCCATAGATATTTTTATGTATTCTCGATTAAGAATCAAAATGCAGATGAGTTGTGAAGATGGAATGCCTCGTTTTCAGTAAAAAAGGTCTTCGGAGTTCTACATTCACCATACGAAACACAACAGCATTAAGCACTGGTATTCTGTGAGTGCGTGGTCCCTCCCCGGTCGAGCCGACCCTTTCGTGCTACAACCATAACATAGCTGCAGCGTGGCTCTATCACGTAAATAACGTAATTCCTCTCTCTTCCTTTCACCATTCGACAACTAGACGCTCCGCCAGTCTCCACTCCCTTGCTGTTGACCTACCTCTCATTTGAACCAAATGGCTCGCTTCGTCGTTCATTATGCGTACAGCAAAGGAGGGGAATAATTTACCAGTATCTGTCTTTCCATCCGAAAACAATTAGAGTGTCTTCAAAGCAAGAGTACATCTACGGTTACATTACACTTACTTTGGCTTATAGTAATTTAAAAAAATCTTTATTACCTGAATGGTCCAAATCGTATGCCTCAACAGCAGTATGAGTATAGGTGATGCCAGCAGTACGATAATCAGAACCGCAACTCCGATACCGAGCGTTCGCCTCGCTGACCAAACCTCGTGACTCGCTGACGCTCTAAAAGCAAACCGAAGAATTTGAACAATTGAATTTTTTTGTACAAAGAAAAATACTCCTACATTGTCATCTGATTCTGGGCTACGTTCAAAATTTTAAAACTCTTTCTCATCGGGTAGTGCTCAAACTTTGAGTTGCAAAATTTCACCCGTAACGACAGACAGACATAGAGACAGACAATCAAACATTGAGCTATTATGTACTACGTACTAGAGGCGACACTGCATTCAGCTACTCTGTTCCATTCAACTGCGGTGCATACACCGCACTTTAATCAGTCACTCGCTAGGCGCTTGTAGAGTTGTCACGTGTTGTGTTGATTTAAAAAAAAATCTCTTGATAAAAATATGCCGTAGTGTGTACTTAGATATTGCACAAATAATTCAAGAAATGTCAGTAAAAACCAAGGAATTACTTTTCATCGGTTAATAAGATACTTAATCAGTAAAAACGTATTATGAATTAATAATAAAACAAATTATTCCTAAGACATGTCATGGAATATATATTAGGAAATGAATAAGTTCAGATGCGAAATTTCTGGGGGTACTTAAGTTTAGGACGAATAAATTACTTTACACATTTTTTTTGTAGAAACATATATAAAAAAAATTATATAAATTATTATGATTTGGCAAAATTTTTCATATATAAATCTGTTTATTATTCTTTTATTTTATTTTAGGTTTCCACATCGAAGTCAAAGTGGTATAAATTCGTCCATTTTAGCTCTCGCATGCCCAGCATTTTGAACGACTTTTGTTCTAATTTAAATAAATATATTTGTAATTTAAATGTTATGTTAATAAGTTTTGTTAAACATACATTTAATATGTTTTTTTTTTACATTTGACTTAGATACCTTTTAAAATATTCAGACAAAAATATCATTAAAATGTTGTAATTGTGTATGTAAAATGTAATTGTGATATAATATTATGTAATATTATATTAAATAAGCAAATATAATATACAAAATAAATGACAAAATTTAAATATTGTTCTCGATATAATTTACCTATTTAACAATAAAATCTACTATTACCTACGGGTCATTCTACCTATGTTTATTCTATGATAAAAAAAAAACAACCGCACGAACACAGAGTAGCGCACACATTTTTTGTTTGAGATAGCTGTTCTAGTACGTAAGTACATATTACTTCAATGCAATCAAACAAGAAATTTACTCGATAAAACGTGGTAAAAATATTTTTTTTATAATAAGGTTGACAAACGAGCATACAGTCCACCTGCAGATAAATGGATGCTGTGGGCCCATAGACATCTACATTTATCCTCAATTAAAAATAAAAACGCAGATGCGTTGTTACCCAACAGGACTAAGATAGAATGCCTCGTTTCCAGTAAAACAGGGTCTCCGGATAACTACACTCACCATACGAAACACAGCCGGTCGAGCCGATCTATTAGTGCTACAACCATAATATAGCTGCAGCGTGGCTCTACCACTTATAAAAATATGTGTGTTTTTGATGGAATAAAACGAGCGGAATGAGCCTTCATAGCTTAGCATTCCCCTCTGATGCTATAGTCTAGTATCTGTGACGTTTGTACTTTAAACTTTTTGGCTTTTACAGCTTCATCGGCCTTGTGCTAGAAACCTACATAGATTCCCTATCCGTATCCATCAAGTATCACAGGCTCAAGGACATGTGCAGCTTGCCAACACACTTTTTCACATTGTTGAGTTTCTTCTGCACCACACTCTGTAATTATACTGGCAATTTTCACCTCCCAAACCGAAAGAAAAAGTAGACTTAGAAGAAGCAATACCTAAAGTATATGAAAGTAACCACCCATATTTTATACGTGGTAGAGCCATGCTGCAGTTATATTAGATGTATAGTTGTAGCACGAATGGGTCGGCTCGACCGGGGAGGGACCACGCTCTCACAGAATACCAGCGTGAAATGGTGGCTTGATGCTGCTGTGTTTCGTATGGTGCGTGTGGAGAACCGGCGACCCATTTTACTGGGGACGAGGCATTCCATCTTAGTCCTCACGGGTGGCAACGCGTCTGTATTTTGATTCGTAATCGAGGATGGATGTGGATGTCTATGGGCCACGGCAGCCACTTACCATCGGTGCTGTTGCTCGAACTGTGTGCTCGATTGTCACCCTACCCTATAAAAAAAATATGAACTCAAATGTAGTTTTTTAGGAGAGGGGGCAAACATGAACAACTGTAGCACCAGGGGAATTGCAGATGCGTTGCTGACCTTTCAAAAAGGAATTAAGAAGCCCTAACCCAATAGTAATATATTTAAAATGCATTTATTAAAATTAAATATATAATAAATGCCTAGTAATACAGTTTGCTATATACAACATGTTACAAAAACCCCGTGGACCTGTGGTTTCCGTTAAATGCTTTATAAGAATCAGTATTCAAACGTATAGAATAACTTATTTTTTATCAAAAAACTCGACCATTAAAAGTTTAATTTTAATTTAAAAAAAATAGTTTGAAAATTGTATGTAGTTTTACTATCTGTGTATTTTTCGGGGGGTTAAACAGTCAAACAGCACGCTTTAAAAAATTTTAATGATCGAGTTTTCTGAAGAAAAAAAAAGTTATTCTATACGTTTATATGTTTGAGTACTGATTCTGACATGCACTTAACGGGGGTTTTTTACATGTAGAGGCGGCGTAAGGATGTCTTATACCTATTAGCATCCCATGGCTGTTAAACATGTGGTTGGTAGCCCACCTTACAAAGGTGGTAGCCATAGTAAAATCCACAGATAAAGCAATCTATGGAGGAGACCAACGTTCAACAGTGGACTTTTGATAGTCTTTAAAAAGCAATGCAACAAAACGCATCAGGTAAAAATTTACTGTTTAATATAGTTCAACACACAATTAACGGCATAAAATGGTGACTCACATAATGGAAAGAATAAACTTGTTTAACGAGTAAACTGGCCAGGCCTGTCACTTGCTAATTAATTCACATTTGTTTTTACATGCATTTGCAAACAAAAGCAATTCGACATGGTATTTTTTTCTCGTCATAAAAAATACCATAGGTCTATTTAATTCACTGACCGTGAAGTATCGGTGTAAGAACATATCCCCTACCCCGTATCGTCCTGCGGGAATCTTAACAGGCGACAGAGGGAAACAAACCAGAAAATTATCGCAGCTCCATTCTGATAACATCTCAAAATAATAACAAAAAATCTGTTGGCAACCCGCTTGCCAATTGCGGCAACTAATATGAATATATCCCCTTAAAATTTGGCTGTGGATTTTATATAGATTGTAGTAGTAATTTTCACGTAAAGTATACGTCATAATTTATATTTTTTAGTATAATTTTAAGTGCTGATTAACCACGTGCTCTATGGTGAAAGAAAACATCGTTAGGAAATCTGCATGTCTAAGAATTCAAAAAAAATATTTGAAGACATGTGAAGTCTACAAGCACGCATTGGGGCAATGCGGCGGACTTTTCCTAGCCCGAAACCTTATTAAAAGTTAGAGAAAGACCATTCTCAGGGGTGAGTCGTAGTAAACTGTAACTTTTATTAAAATTAGATTATGAATAAAATATTAGAAATTAGATATTTATCAATAAGATTTTACAAAACTAGATGATACCCGCTCGCTTCGCTGGGCGCACGACAATAGACGACGATAACCTAGATTGTTGATTATTACTTGAAATGTTTAGAATAGTTAGAAATACGAGTTATTTTTTATTGCCTCGTTGGTTTAGTGGTCATAAACGCGGTTGCTGATCATGAGGTCCTGCGTTCGGATTCCCGGTCTGGTCAAAATCAGTTATCGGATTTTTATTTATTTAGAAACTTTACTGTGTTAACCATAAAGGTTACTAAGGGCGGACTAGATGCCAGTTAGCATGATGTGCCAGTCAGCACTTGGCGTGGTGACTTAAACCACTAAATAAAATTAATTATACAAATACATATGAAAGAAACAAATACATAATAATCCATTCATTCATTCATTCATTCATACGGCCTTTAACGGTCCGCTGCTGAACATAGGAATTTCCCATATATTGCCTCGTTGAAAGGATTTTGCCATAGTTGCAATGTTTGGCAGGCGGTTCTGCAAACGCAATTTTTTATCATTTTGAGTTTTATCAGGAAGGCGCTGTTGCCCTTCTCTTATTCAGTTTCCTTCTGTCGATAAATTTTAGGTAACTGTACGAAGTCAGGAAGTTGGCAGTGTTCACCCCCGTTGTTTAGAAAGCTCGTAAAGCCATTGGTCCTGCGCCTGATCTCTCTCCATTCGTATTGGATTACCGTCCTATCGGACTAAGAGAATAAGAAAATAGAGAGTGCATGTGTGCTTGCGCATTCACTATATATTATATAATCCTCTCTTCAACAGACGATAGTGTCCACAGAGACAGGTTAACGTGATCTAATTTCGGTTTAGAGGGCTTCAGTAGTTATTTAATTTTAACTACTCCTTACTGAGTTAAAATGCTTGAAAGTTTGACTGAAGGAGATAGGAATATCGCGTGATGGAAATGGCGGTATAATCTTTTATATTACACTGCTCGTGTTTTGGATTTGAAACATCAAGCGTAAGAACTGTTAACGTCAATCATTCTCGACAAGCGTAAAGGTTATGTCGAATCACTTTTGAAAATATACCTAACACTGGAAGGCGGGAAAATAATAGTAATTGATTTAAAATTGGTGAGGAAATTTTTCACCAGTTATGGTAAATTTAATCTACACATAGTTTTTGTCCATAATATCGAAATATCTGCCTTCTATTACGCTGTATTAGTTATTTGCAAGCTATTAACTACAATAATTTCAAAAGTTTTATTTATCCAGTTTTATTTATCCAATTTTGAAATTATTTGCAGTGTGTCTGGGTATAATAAGTCCGGTTAATCTTCAGTGTTCAAGCTTAGCCGATTGTGATAATCCTACCCGGTTAAGGCGCCCATTCACGCTACAACGATAAAATACTAAAGCGCACTAATTAGTTTAATCAGTTTTTATACTCATATTGTAGTGTTTCATACAGTCGACGGATGCTATGGCCCATAGACGTCATAATAAATAATTGAAAATCAAAATGCTCTAAAACCCCCAAAGAACCAAGACAAATTGTCCCGTTATCAGTAAATCCAGTTATCAACACATACCTACCTAAACATGGCGGCACGAATAGAGTGTTATGCCGAAAGTGATCTAAGCTTTTATTCAAAAAGATGAAGGATATTTTTGTGAAACCAAAAGCTGAAAAAAATTTGAGAAAATAAGAGATACAAAAAAAAGTTTTGAGCAAAAGTTTTTCAGTTTGCAATTTCACACTAAAATGCCCTTGCCCTTATATTTAATTTTCTATATCTTAAGGTTTAGATATAAAAAAATTACAATTTTTAACTTCAGCACCAATTTACAATAAAATTATATGTGATAAGGAAGGGGATGGGACCTTTTTAGGTTTAATTAATATATCTTCAATTTAAAATTTCATTTAGTATTATTCCATATCGAAATAGCTTTCGAGATAAACTACTTGACCAAACTCCACTATTACAGATCTTTAGGCTTTTTTGTGTACATTATATGCGGACGAAGTCATGAGTAAAATATATCTTAAAAATATTGTAACACGAGACTTAATCGATTAGGTACGTGAAATTCTTAACGAGAAAAACAAATCCGAATAAAGTTTTACTTAAACTAACTATGATTAAAATAGTTTTAGAACAATTTATATTCCATTGCTGCTTAGAAATAACGACTGACAAACATAATGAAACGGCGATGAACATAAACACCGCTCACTAATTACTCGCCATTAACAAAACCCTTCTATTCGATATTGGATCACGTTCTGCTAATTCAGATTACAGCATAATTTTGGGATGCAGTTAAACGGGTAAGTGCAAATTTTAAGCTTTAAAAAATTCTTGCACTATTGATAGAGTAATATCATAATCATCATCACCATCATTTTCTACTGATAAACATAGACTTCACCAAGTAATTTTTTTATAGGAGAGGGGGCAAACGAGCATACGGCTCACCTGATGGTAAGTGACTACCCCCGCCCATGAACAACTGTAGCACCAGGGGGATTGCAGATACGTTGCCGGACTTTTAAAAAGGAAAAGGCTCGATTCTTGAAGGTCTCTAAGTCGTATCGGTCTAGAAAGTATGGTGGAAGTCGATTCCACAAGGAAGTTCTGCGATGAAGAAAACTTCTTTTAAATCGCACAGTGGTGGACTGCCAGTCATCCAGATGGTATGATCGGTATCGCGAATTTTGTCGTAATGTGCGATGGTAAAATTGTGCAGCTGGAATTAGTCGTATCGGTCTAAAACGTATGGTGGAAGTCAATTCCACAAGGAAGTTCTGCGAGGAAGGAAACTTCTTTTAAATCGCACAGTGGTGGACTGCCAGTCATCCAGATGGTATGATCGGTATCGCGAGTTTTGTCGCAATGTGCGATTGTAAAATTGTGTGGCTGGAATTAGTCCGAACAATTTCTCAAAGCACTCCCCATGGTAGATGCGATAAAATACGCAAAGAGATGCAACATCTCTTCGCAGTGCCAGTGAGTCAAGCCGATTGGAAAAAGCTCGGTCGCCGACGATTTTAATAGTTTACAATCCAGTGAAAGGAGCTGGCAGTGGAAAGCTCCAAAATAATGCCACAAAGCACCATCTTAAGCCACCATTTACCATCAACTTATTGCATGTTGTACCAGGTCGTCAATCTATATAATGTAGAAGTTTGTTGAAGTGTCAATGAGTCGGCCATATTGTTCCGACATTAATCAATAACTGATACGAAAGATAGATTCTCAAATGACATAAGAATATATTGCTCAAAGTAACGTAAATTTACAGCATATATACGTCCCATAAATAGGCACAGGTCTCCTCTGATTCGTGAGAGGGTTTTATGGCAACGAAATATCCGCAGCGCTGCCCCAATGAATGTTAGCGGACTTTAGATGTCTTAGAAATATTTCATTCAAATTAAAAAATAAATAAAAACAGTGCTTTGAAGGAATATAACATGATATATTTTATTTTCACGTGGAAAAGTGTAAGATTGCGCAAAATTTCATCCATATTCCTTGTGCCATTTTTACGTAATTGATTAACAAACACCTGAAGATCTCAAAATTATATTATAACGTATAACATCACACTGCAGTTTTATAATGGATCGGATAAACCGGAACCAAGCTTACCAACAGATTAAGCTTGGTAACCATAGTAAAATCCTATTATATCCCAAATAAAGCTAAGCAACAGATTACCCAGCGTAGATTACCAGTTAATTGCTGCCCTGTTTTGTGAAAAGAGTGTAGAAAAACGGAGATCCTATTTTACTTGTAACGGGCATTTCATCCTAGTTCTCAGGAGCTTAAAACCATCTTCACTTTGGTTCTTAATTATTCATGACAAATTTACACGTCCAACCAGTCATACCCTCAACATCCATCCATCAGGTTGACTGTGTTGGTTGATTGACAATATGAGTATGGAAACCATCAATTTTTAAGCCTTTAGCACTTATCTTGTACAAAAGCAAAATTTTTTCCTTAGTATTTTACAATAGAAGAATCATGACGTTTTCTTCGCCTATTTCGACCACGGTGATGTCTTCCGAACTGTGCCATAAGTTATCGATAGCACTGTAGTAGAAAAAATAACGTTCTAGTAGGCATCTGCGTAGAACAGGATTATCGTGCACAAGTGTACGCGCAAGCAAAAGTGCACTCTTTATTATCTCATTTTCATTGTCCTAGGAGACGACAATCCAACAATACCGAAGGCGCAAGAACAGGACCAATGGCTTACGGTGCTTTCGTGGACATGGAGGTGAAACACTGCCAACTTCCAGACTCCGAAATTTTATTGAAAATTTATTGATAGAAAAAACCAACTGACGTTGGCCCGATCCGTTATTCAAATCCGGGACCTTATGTCAGCAGTCGTCCTAACGCCTACTGGACGAACGAGGCAGTAGAGTGGGAATAAAACAGAGATGACAAAAAATGTAGGGTGAAAGGATTTGAGTTATCACTTAGTATTTAAATTTTATTTTATCACATTGTGTATTTGTGTGCGTGGAGGTGTTTTGTGTATGTGTGTGTGCGTGCGTGCGTGCGTGTGTGTGTACATTTAATGAATAAAGATACTGTAATCTATCGTGACAGAGGAAATGAAACAGGAGATGGGCGGCAACATTTTTCTGATACCAACTCAAAATAATAAGAAACTGCTGTTTCCAATCTGCCTGCCTAACAAGACAGTTGCGGCAAATATTCCCCTTAATAGGTAATCTATGACAGGGCCTATGTCCAGCACTTTTGATAGGACTTTTGATATGCTGTGATGGTACTAAGTCTATTTTATATAATTCGTTCCAGCCCACTGCAGTATACACTTCTCCCGCTCATAGTGTTAAATAAATAAATTAAAACTTTTAATCGCCACTACATCATACATCAGTAATTAAGTAGTTACTAACCGGACAACGGCCCAGAGTGCTTGTTGCACCGCTTTTAAATCTTCTAAAGACGTTTCGGCGTACATTAGATAGTGGTTTGCCCAGTGTATAACGGTGTCGATTGTTTCATTCTCGTTGAGATGGAGTACATTGGTGTTGTTAAAACTGTAACAAAGATATTAATACTTTCTCATCGAGAATAAAATAATGATATGGAATGAGCTTATGATATCATCTGGAAAGTTATAGTGCTAGTAAAGATACATAGGACACACATATTACAAGAACTGGCGTAATCACTATTACCTTAAGGGCCTATACTACCTCAAATGACTTAGCAAGATCCTCCGTTATGCCGAAAATATTGCAGCATTAGATTTGAAATAAATATATAGTAAAGTTGAAGATTAATTTTAAGTACTATGTTAGACGAAAACACGATTCCGTCAAATTTTCTAGATAGAAAAAAATAACCAAAATTACCTCCAAACTGAACAATAAACCGCTGGTATTCATAAAATACTTTAAATTAGATCATGAAACTTTGCATACTAATTGAACTAAAGTTAAGCAGGGTTGATGTTTTTTTTTTAATTATCACTATTTTCACTGTAAAAATAAATTACCTAAACTATCGGCGTCCTGAAATTTGTTCCCTGCCGCCCTATCAGTCTCGCATTGGCTTTCGAAAGAGAAAGTTGTGTCGCTTACGATCAGAATACACATTACGCAACAGGACGAAGTAAAATTAAAATGGGAAATAACCGTAATAAAAATAACAAGAGACTGGGTTGGCGTAAAGAAACAGGCATAAATATAATAAACCTAATGAAATAAGTATCTTACGACCTCTACTTTCACTATTAGTGATTACAAACATGTCGGTAGTATAGGCCCTTAATCGCTTAAATCTCCTCGATGAAATGTTTGCATGCTATAATTAAAGTATACAAAAATAGATTCAAAGTCGTCAACATACTGCCTTACACATATTTCTCATGGTTTTTCTTTGTATTTATTTTTGTTTATATCATATTTTAATACTTTTCTTATATTCTAGTTCCAGTTTTTCTACAAAAAATCAACCAGTTCTTCTTGGCCACTTCTTTCCCAAATGTATCGTCGAAATACACTTACCGCTTTCAGTTGTTTTAAATTGAGATATCCTCAAATCGGAACTTCGGGCAGTTCATTAAGTTCCAGGGCAAAGCAATTGCCAGGAAACTAGGAGTCATTGCAAAGATGCGGCGATACTTCACGCCGGGATTATATAAAGCGCAAGTCCGGTCGTGCGGGAGTATTGCTGACATATATGAGCTGGTGCTGCAAGACGCCACCTAGCAGCTTTGGACTCAATGGAAAGGCGTATTGAAAGGCTTATTTATGACCCGAATTTAGTTAAAACCTATCTTACCAGCCTCAAGCACAGGCACAAATTACATTTACAGGATGCAATTCGGAGAGTGGGATTACATAATTTAATTCTTCCCTCTCCCTCCACCATCAGACAACCGTCTGGTTGTTCGATGGTAGAAGGATCAGCTTGTTTTCACCATTTCATTTTTGAGTTACCACGCTTACAAACCAAACGGTTTGCTTCATCGCTTATCATCTCTACAGCAAAGAAGTGGAATAAGTTGCCAGCATCTGTGTCTCCATCCGATTGAAATGGGTGTCTTCAAGGCAAGAGTGCTGGTGCTGGTGGCTTTTGTTAAGTCAGTGCGCTTAATCATCTTAGGCTACATCACCACTTACTATCATGTTGGATTGTAGATAAGCGTTGGCTTAGAATAGTAAGTATATAAAAGAGACGAGATACAGGACATTGATTTAATGAGATTTAAAAAAGAATATTTTAATCGTAACTTTAATTCAAGCATATCGATCAAATTGGCGATGTATTGAAAATGGGCCAAGTCAAGAGTACCCTAAAGTGACGAGCATGCGTAAGTATATGGATGTGGAGAAGACGAGAGAGGTGTGTCAAGATTGTGGCAAATGTAAGTCCGTAGTCTCTACCGACCCCTTTGGGTGACAAGCGTGAGTGCTTATGTAATTTAAATCGATTCAGAATTAATATTTATAGATTGAAATTTATAGGCGTTAATTATAAAAGCAGACAGAAATAAGTTTGTAGCTTAAAAGTTAGTAAGAATGACACCAAAACATACTCACGTTAAGCCTACATTCTCATTCACTTTGACTTTCTCAGTGAGGTTCTCTAGCTCCAAATACTGTATCATAGAATTCAAGTGATCTTGTCCAGATGCCACGTGTATAAGGAGATCAGCTAACACCTGTATATCTACCTTCTGTGAGTTCGTTAAGTAGATTGATAACATTAAAACCAGAGACAATTCTTCCATAGTCTTCAATAGCTCGGAGCTTGCAGATAGTTGCCTGCAAATAAGAACAATATTATAACTTATAGCATTTTAAGTTTTAATTTCATTTTCGTGCTTAGCGGCAGGAATAGCGATCATAGTACCAGCTACATCGCACCTTCGACGCTGTACCTTTAGGTATTTTACATCTGGTCGTCTCTAGATATTTTCCATCTGGTATATAAAAAGATATACTCCCAGCTATTGGAGGCCACTAGTCGTTATGACATTTCACATAATCGACATTTACGATAAACTCTGAACAATATTACTAATCATTGTCTTGAGCTAGGAAATAGTCTATTATCCCATATTTGTTTACCTCAATACAATACAATACAATTTGACACGTGGTAGAGCCATGCTACTGTTATATTGAAAGTATACGTGTAGCAGGAATGGGTCGGCTCGACCGGGGAAGGACCACGCTCTCACAGAATACTTGCGTGAAATAGTAGCTTAATGCTGATGTGTTTCGTATAGTGAGTGTAGAGAACCAGGGACTCTTTTTAATGGAAACGAGGCATTCCATCTTAGTCCTCACGGGTGCCAACGCATCTGCATTTTGATTCGTAATCGAGGATAGATGCAGATGTCTATGGGCCACAGCAACCACTTACCATCACGCGGACTGTGTGCTCGTTTGTCACCCTATCCTATATAAAAAATACAAGATTTGTTTTACGATTTTTCATCATCATCATCATTCTATGATCTAACTACTACAACCCATAAAATCCCCAGCTGAACATATGCCTCTCCCACAGATTGACTCATAGCTGTGATTTTGTCTTTGCTACTACTCTCTGTACGCGGATTGGCAACAACAGTTTTAAATTATTTTGAGTGGTCATAAGAAAGATTCTGCTGCTCATCTCCCGGTTTATTTTGCCCCTGTCGCCTCTGATGTTATGCGATACTCATGTAATGTTATGGGTTAGTGGATACTTATTACACCACCACTACCCGTTGTATCACTAGCAACATCATTACGGACTATAAAAGTTTACTCAATAACATAGGCCTCCTTCATAAATTGCCTCGTACGGAGAAAACTTGTCATAGTTGCTGCGCTTGGCATACAGGTTGGCAATAGAAATTTCTTTTATTATAAGTTTTATCAGGAAGTCTAGCCTGTCCTATTTCATTATCATCTACTTACTCGTATTACATATACCTCTGTCTTTTCTTAAGACACGCACGAGCAGACACGAGGATATATCAATGGCAAAAAAGCTTTAGCATTGGAAATTAAAACTGATATTTCGATATATTTGTTACACGTGGCAAGCGAATTCGCTATTGTAGGACCAGATTTTTCGCATCTTAAAGGAGATATTTCCGTCACATTTTGAAATGATTAGATTTGGAACAGTTATATCGTCGCGTATATGAAAGCCTGAAAATTACTTGGCACTTGGTTCATTCTTTCATGTCGTGCATTGAGTTGAAATGATTTGTTTTCACGCAGTTTTTGCCACTAGAAGCAGGCACCTTAATTTTGTAGCAATATCTTATTTTTAACTGTTCCCCGCGACTTCGCCCGCGTTAAATTTATTACTGGGGTTTTAATTTTTTTTGCGGGGAACCCTAATTATTTTACTAAAATCATAGTAGCCTTGTCCACTCCTTATAAAATCGGCTATCTGTGAGTGAAAGTTCCGTCAAAATCGGTGCAGCCGTTCCTAATATTAGCTGGATCAAACACACAGACACACAGACAAAAGCTTAAAAATTATTTTTTTGTACCGTAGATACTTTCATATGCATTTAGTTAAAAGCAGTTGTTTCGAAATTATAAAAAGACAATTTAATTTATTTGTTTGTATAGATATAGATCACGACGACCAAATGACAGTTCGGATGCATATTTGGCTGCGATGCTGTGGAATTCGAATTCGAATCACGCACGCAATAACTATTTGCTTTGGCCACTAATTGTTGCAAGTCTGTATGTGAACCATGTGCAATTTATATAACTATTATGTATAACGCCACCACGATACAGAAGTATAATATATAAAAAAAGAAAATTTTATACTAAGCCGTGCTTGATTTACCGACAGTTACGTCAGTTTTCCGTATTGCCGTCAGTTACAACAATAACGATACGGTAAGATACATATTTTTAATATATAATACAATTTAATGTATACAAAAACAGAAGTTTAGCAGTAACACAGATGTTGTATGTTAATTACAACTATGGTTACGCTTTATAAAAACCGAATGGAGGATGACAAAAGTTATCGACTCATCGACATGCAAACCAGTACGTCTAGTTTGCAGCTCACATTTTTAAATAAACTCGATTGCCTGGAGAGTACATTTTCATAATAAACATTTTAATGCACTGCACAATGTGGTACATTAAAAATTAAAATGTTTAACCAAGCGTAACGGGATCTTATTTACTTTACCGCAAAAATATGCAAATTTTGCGATGCTTTTAAAATGTAAAATAATATTATGTTTAGTTTATAATAGGTCTTTACTATGAAATTGCTGTTCTGGTTAAGAATTCTAATTTCAAATTAGTTTTATTTTAAAAACATGGAATTCTTTTTCTAAAATTAGTTATTTGTTTATTGATTATGTTTTCTTAACATTTGAATATTTTTTGTCATCATGGATACGTCAAAAGTTCGAGTAAATATGGAATATGAATTCCATTGTGGCAGCAACGCGGTACAAGCGGCATTCAGCTTTAAAGACTTTTACTCAGCGAGTACTTAAAACGATCGCAGCACCCGGTTGGTTTGCCCGTTTCGTTCTGGAAATTTCAACCTAAAAAATGAACCCCGTGGCTGTCAGAAAAATTTGGTTGACAATGGCGAATGAAAAGCGGTTGTGGATGCTGATGATACTCAATTAACTACTGAATTAGCAGCAGCTTTCGACATTAGCATCAAAACAATATGCATGCACCTTCCTGATGGACCTTCTGTCGACATCTAATCTGGACAGATATCAGGTCTCTGTCGTTGCGTTCTACAGGCTGCCGCCGTGTTTGGCACTATAAGTCGACCGATTGGAAGAGGATGTGGTCCTTTTTTGCATCCTACCCTTGGGGCCGGGTTTGTTTCTCTCCAGGTGATTTAAACGTTGTTGCTGATTCTGTCTCTGATATGGTACTTCAGGGAATGAAACTTTTTATTCCGTCATCTGTGGTACATATCGGAAGTAGAACTCAACCATGGTTTGGTCACTACTTTGCAATTTCATTACACCATAAGCAGGAGTGCTACCGGGCCTGGGCTGACGCATCAACATCTTAGGATGCAAACACCAGCGCTCTTAAAAAGAAGTAGGTATAATTTCACCTCCAAGTCATTCAAAATAGTTATTGCCAAGGAAAAGTCAGGTCACATCAGCAGATTAAGAAACTATTTCAACTTCCTTTAGGAACACGTGCATTCTAGTCTCTCGCCAAGGCTGTCGTAGAGAACTTCTATCAGTCATCTCTGCCATATCTGTACAGGGAGAACGACTCACTGGCCCACGCTGCAACGGAGAAATCAATCTGCGAAGCTCTTTTTTACGTCCAACAAGACTCACCATAACAATAAGAGGGGAGGGGGACACGTCGCCGAACATTGCGCGGTGTGAGTGTTCTATGCAAGACTCTCCCTGGATATCAACAAGTCGAGTGAGCCTGATGAGGACCCTCCTATTGTGCTAAAGACCTGTAGTCCAAGGTTGGCAATGATTTTAATGCATCTTTGCGTCCTTTTGCGTCAAATTTACCAGGTAAAAAAACTTAACAAATAGGTGCACCAAGAACTCAATGATTGCCAGCCCAAAGTACGCGTTAAGACGTGCTTTGGATTGCTCAACAGGCATACAAACGAAGAAATTTTGAACCGCATTGTTACCTGTGATAAAAAATGAATTCTGTTTGACATTCACAAGTGTTCATCAAGTTCGTCGCTGATCCTGATTCTGAATCTAAACAGTACCTTTAACAAAAATTTAGCCCTAGAAAAGTGATGATCACTGTTTGGTGGCCTAGCACCGGTGTCTTCGATCACAGCTTCTTACCAAACATGATAAGTAGCCTAATTATATTGTAACAGTCTTTACTTATTTTATCATCACCTTTCTTTCTTGATTATGTGCTAAGCATACACTGTCAAATCAAAGAAAATAAAAAAAATCCAGTATAAGGCGTGCCTACAAAATACGACTTGAAACAGGCTTACGCTCGATCGCAATAAGCACAAGTGTGCGCATTGTTGTCGGGGGCCTCGTTAACAGTGGCCACTTATATGTAAGGCATACGCTATAAGGTCCCCAGGTGACGGATTTCGTTGAACTCCTTGTTAGCGGTTCCTGAGGAGATTATTTTGTTCTAGTTATACTAAGAGGTGGGCATTCAATATACACTCCACAATCTCATTGTGTAGAGGATGCTTTCATAAAAACATTATTAAAATTAAAATTATTCTTTTATTAAAAATGAAATCCGACTTCATTAAAACTAAGAAGTATTAAATAATTTCCAAGTAATAGCTTCAGAAGCTGGGGCTAAGACATAGACAAGTATTGAAGCCACAACTTAAAAAATATTTTGTGGAAATTATTCTATGGAATTCTTTGAAGTCGGTTTTACTTTTTTAATAAAATTCTAAGTTTTTGATCTGTTTAAGTGGACTTACTAAAATCCAAAGCTCTAATGTCGACTAAATATTTACATTAAAATTTTATGTTATTTTGTGACCCGTGACGAGGAACTTTTCTCAAATAAAAATATGGAACAACCACTGGATTATTTAATTAAAAAAGAATCATTAAAATTGGTGACAATTGACAAAGATATCGCGTAACGTACAAAAAACAATATACAGTCGAATTGACCTCTTTGTTTTTTAAACCGGCTAATAAAAATAAACAATTTGAAAACAACTTTCTGTGACCAGATACATATTTGGCAATCAAATGCATACATGCATTCTATAAGAGATTTTACGACAAAATCATACCAAGGCTCTAACTGACATGACTCACTGTATCAAGAAATTCCGCGATCATCGCGCACGAGCGCATTAGCTCTGAGTCACAGAGATGAGCCTGAATCAATAATGTTAACATTCCTTAAAGAAATTTTAAAAATAAATAAGTGCTTAAATCTTGCAAATCTCTGACCCCATTGATGTGTATTAACCATACGAAACATCCAAAACATTATCCTGCTATTTCAAGATGGTATTCTGTGAGAGCGTAAACCGTACCCAATCAAACTGAAAAATTCGTGCTGCAGCCATAATACGCTACAACGTTGCTCCACTTTTTTTTATAGAATAAGGGTGACGAACGAGCACACAGTCGACCTGATGGTAGATGGAAGCTGTGGCTCATAAATATCTAAATATGTCCTCAATAAGGAATCAAAATGAAAATACGGTGGCACTCCTGAGGACTAAGATGGAATGCCTCCTTTCCAATAAAAAGGATCTCCCGTTCTCTACACTGACCATACGAAACACAGCAGAATTAAGCTACTATATTTCACTCTGGTATTCTATGAGAGCGCGATCCTTCACCGGTCGAGCCGACCCATATGTGCTGTGACTATATATCTGCAGCATGGCGCTACCACGTAAACCAACTTTAATCCCAAATAAAAGCCTCATCATTAATCCATAAAAGCTTACTACTTGACATAAGCTTCTACTGTAAAATCCTATCTGGATTTGCCTTATTCGTCACGCTTAGCAGTTGTATCCATGATCGCAATACCAGATTTCTCGCATCTTTGAGGGATAAACTAGACGGTATACCGCCATCTACTGGAAACTATAAGATTATTCTAGTCTTTCCTAAAGTCACTTACGAAACCTACGCAAAAAATTAAATATGAAAGCCTATAATTAATTAAAAATTATGCACGTCCGCGTCCGCCTTGTTACTTTCACTTTTAAATAATATTTCTTTATACACACAAATGCCGTGTAATGGCTATGTAATAAAATCCACTATCGTACGACCTGGTAAGACATGCAGGAAGTCGATGGATAAAGGTGGCTCAGGACCGTGTTTTAGGGCATTCCTTGGGGTAGGCTTATGCTCTGCAGTGGACTTGTGAAGGGCTGTGACGATGAAATGAAGATCATCCCGTGGGTGTCGAATGAGGCGACAAACTAAAACAAATTATGGGCAACAGCATCTTCCTAATAACAATTCAAAATAATAAATAACTGCGGTAGCCAACATGCTATATGTGGCCGCGTCCATCCAAAGTTGTAGCAAAATTTCCCATATAAGGCAATCTATGGGGAAGACTTTTGATCAGCAGTGTATTCTTTATAAAGTATTATACGGATGAGCTTGCTTACCAAACGCGTCTTATGAATCATACGACCTGCAGAGAGGTTTGTTTACAAGCAACGATTGTATTAAATGGCAGTTACTTAAACAGTTACCTAATACAACGTAGATGACTCACTACATGTCAAGTAATTTGTGAGCAGTGGGTTTGAATCCCAATCAATACAAAATAAATTATTTTTATTGGTACATTAATATACACTGAGACCTGATTGAGACGGCTTTCGTGTCCGACATTCCGTTGGAACTACGTTTTCAATATAGTATGAATATACGCGATAAGAATGTTTGTATAGACTTTTTACTGCTAAATATCCATGAAGTATATTTACTCTCTCATTTATTTATTAATTAGTCTATCAAAAATCTATTGCTGAATAATTTTTTTATAAGTTAGGGTGACAAACGAGCACATAGTACATCTGATGGTGAGTGGTTGCTGTGGCCCATAGACTCCTATATGTATCTTCGATTACGAATCAAAATGCAGATGCATTATCACCCGTGAGGACTAAGATGGAATGCCTCGATTCCAGTAAAAAGGGTTTCCGCTTCTCTACACTCACCATACGAAACACAGCAGCATTAAGCTACTATTTTACACTGGTATTCTGTGAGAGCGTGGTCCTTCCCCGGTCGAGCCGACCCATTCTTGCTACAACTGTACTACGAATATAACTACAACATATAAATGGCTTCATATAGGGAATTTTTGCATAAGATTGAAGCCCCAGTATCTTTTGTTTTAGCTCTTAGTAAAGAAATGCTGCTTCCAATTTCCTGTTTCAGAGTCTTTCTTCTGCCACCTCTTACGACATCAACGGAATCATACGAGGTGGTGGACCCTCCTACGCTACAAGGAAACCTATAATTTTTGTTGATAGCGAATAAGTAATCGTAATAGAAATCCAACGGCTAAGTAATGTAAATATGGCTAACAACCAATCCAACGTCTAAAGACGACGCAGTCGTGCGACAAATATTTAGCCGTGGCGCTGCGGAATTGCCTGACAGAAAAAAATGCGTGGCAATAAGGTTAAAACATTATAGATTTAAATAATATTAATGATTAAGTCAAACGCCTCATTGATGCACTAGATTCTTGTGTTGTGGTTACTGTCCTGCCTTACGTAAATTTCGTATAAAACTAAGAAAATAGCTTTTGCGTCTCTTATTTCCAATGCTCTATCCGTATCGAACACACTGCTATTGCGACTGCAGACGAAGGTCGCCATCTACCTTTCGAGCAACTCATTAATAATTCACTGCTTATAAAGGTTATACCCACTTGGTTCCGCCTGAATTTAATATGTGGCCTCTACGATAAATAGTAACAATATCCGCATCCTACAGTTCAATACTTTAAAATATAACGATAAAAGAATTACAATAAAAGACAAGCATGCACAAAGAAAAGTAACTATTGATGTTAATAATTAATTAAGAAAAAATGCAAGGTTATACAAATTGATTTATAACCTCTGACGAAAAAGAGGGGTGTTATAAGTTTGGCCGCTATGTGTGTGTGTATATCTGTGTGTCAGTGGCACCGTGACTCTTATTGGGTGAACCGATTACTATATTGACTTAATGGGTAGGGTTTTGGTATTTAAAAATGTTCATCATCATATCGGTTCAGCCATTTGAAGATCATCAGATTTTATCTTATGTTCAATATTAATAATAACATTTACAAAAATTGTTTAAAAGAAAACAAAACTTTGCATCATCACGGGATAATGGGACCTTAATGCGATTGTCATATTCATAGGACACTTTTGATTACTATATAAATAAAATTGTTTCTTTTAATTAATCTTTTTGCCAACTAGCTAAATCTAAGGATCAACTCACAATACACACAGTACGTACGTGTATGAAGAAGGCGCTAAGTAGTCCGCGCTCTTACAAAAGTGTGTGTGTGTAAACAAAAAACATACACACAGACACACTTTTTTATATAAGACATAAAGAAAGATTTTTTTTAACTATTTTAAGGTGGAGCTTACCTACAATCCCATTTGTTAGGATAAAAGTTACAGACGAATATCTCTTACTGAAAATCTGTTAATACTATTTAAATGTCTTTGTCTGATAGTTATTGTTGATAGTTAGTTCTAAAGCCATTTTATTAAATACAGTGTAATCAAATATTGATAAACCTTAATAAATAAAAAAATAGTAAATGGTGTGCGGACACCCATATTGTAATCGAATGAAAAGACAGATGCTGGCAACTTATAGATAGAGAGAAAATGTATTATAATATACTTAGTGATTGACTGTTTACTACTAAGCCTGTGTAGGGTATTTTAGAATAGAAATAATTATATTTTCATTGATTTCAATGTAAATTAGTCCATTCACTTATAAATTGTTTCACACGATGTCGCGCTTATTTCGGTGTGAGCTAATGCTAACGAAGTTCAGCTACGATATTCAGAATCAAAGATAAAAAATATTATAAAAATATTTGCCAGTTATCTAGATCCAACTGGTATTTAAACCTAGGTTATGTGGCAGTATATTATATCAAATTAACTTACCGCCATAATGGAGAAGTTGTGGATTTAACGTTCTTCGTCATATAAAGAAGAAGAATGGAATTAATTTGTTCATACACGGAGAGCCTCTTGACTGGAACATATTGATGCAGATTCCTGAAAAGCAAAATATATACTTATTGTGCAAATATGCTACTAACTGTACAAGATACTCTCGACGTATCATCGTACAGCCAGTAGACGAGGTCAACAACAACAAAGGTAAAAATCATCCCGCCAATTTACGCTTTTTTAGAAGTTGACAAGTAATTTATTGAGTCTGTAGTTTCCCATATATAAAGTACAAATTTAAAGGGTTAACACTGATATCGGATCGTTAGTCACCTCAGTCCCTCGTGACCATTGTTGCTGAAAAGCACCCGAAAAGTCGGGTATTAAAAATCAAATAAATTAAACGCGATAAAATCCGTTAAAGTACCTTTAATAAATGTGTTGTGTTTGCGTAAGAAGATATAGAAGAAATCGTTATAGGATAAAGTAAATTGTACATTACACCTATCAGTTTTGAGAGTGACACTGCTACGTAGCTCAGCTATATTGTAATCCGACTGCGACGGAGTACAGCAAGCGATAGAGGAAAAAAAATTAGAAGATGGCCAGCAGCGTCTTCCTAATAACGACTAAAATTAAAAAAGCTGCGGCTGCTGAGCTTTGCAAGCGCGGCAGATACGGCAAATGTTCAGCAGTGAACTTTAATAGGCTGATATTTTTTTCTGTAATATCTTCTCATTTATCCGTTCTTAATAAAACTAGTCGTTGGATTTTGACAAATAATAATTTAATGCATCTTCATCATCATCATAATTGATGATATGAGGACGCTGCTGCTCATCTCCTGAGTTTTTCCCTCAGTCGTCTCTTAAGACATGCACGGGACAATATGGAATAGTGCATATTCTTACACCGACTCTAAACGGTTTTTATTATAAATTAATCTTTAAACTAACTAGGTAGGACTTTGATTCCTCCCAGGAGTCCGTCAGTGTAGATACCACTCAATGACCCATTTCTGTTGTTAAGTAGGAGAGTCAGTTTAATTAGAGGCTCTGAGTAATTCCATCTAAGACCCCAAAGTTGACAACGCATATGTAGTGTTCTATGTTTGAATTTGACTGCAGATTTCCGTGGAGTTCATTGCCACTTATCATCAGGTATAATCTAAGTTCGTTTCTCTATTCAGTTAAATTAAAAAAAATGTATGGCTCTTTCGGTTCTTTTTGTTAAATAATTTGTTTGTTGCATAATAACATCGTTTCAGACGGGAAATAAATGTAATATCGTAATGAAATTTTTTATACTCACTGTATTATCTCCATCCTAAAATTGCTGCGTGAAAACAAATACTCTGTTGAAAATAAAAATAAAACGTGTATAGTAATAATTTAATCTGTCTTTAATTATTAATTAATGTATTTTTATGCAACAAATATCTGTGCCTACTCCTCTTCCGCAATAGCCCAACGGTCTAGTAAGCTGAAGTGAAAATGGGACGACCGTATAGCTCGAAGAAACGACAACCGATGGGGAAGAAAGGTTCTCGAGTGGCAGCCATGTATCGACGAAGTTTAGGGCGACCCCCACTAGATGGCGTGGCACTGCTTTGTGGCATTCCGCAGTGCTATGCTATGTTCTGCAGTGTACTTCTGTAGGACTGTATTGAATATGATGATAATGACTCCTCCTCACCTCCCTTCTCCACCCCGTCGCCTCCTACTTATCCATCTCCCGTTAAAGAAAGAATTTGCGTTAATCACCATTCGGATTGGTGATGGCAAGATCTGCTGCTTCCCGTCCCCAGCCTGGGTACTTATTACCTAGCATTAATGAGATGGTTACACCTTTTTTGATATACACTCACTATCAGTGGCCATGAAATATTTCTGACCTTTAAGACAACAGGAAGAAATGAAGAATAGATTCTCTTACATCAGCATCACACAGCCCTTTCAAATATTTGTCATATAAGTGTAATGGATGTTGATATATCTGTTTGAGTGTGAGCGATATATGCGAGCATCCCGGGTTCGAACCCCGGCGGTACCAATGCAATTGTAACTATATATTTTAAGTGCTGGATTACCTACGTGCTCTACGGTGAAGGAAAACATCGTGGGGAAACCTGCATGTATTAGAAATTTAAAAAAATATTGATTAATTCTTAAAAACAACAAACTTGAACATTTAAACTAAATTAAACTTCCTTGTTTTAAATAATAAGAGTAATATGTAATGTAATTCTGCAATATGTCCAGGAAATTACCAATACCAATTTCATTATTGAAAACATACGTAATTGTATATCCGGTATAAATTCGTCTCTCAATAAAAACACATTTTAAAATTTGTTAAGTACTGTACTATTTCCAATACTGTTTTTATATAATTAACAATATATTTATTTAATTTAATACCTACTTCAATAAAATATAATTAAAATTATTTGTAGCAAACATTTCATTCATCGTAAGATATCTCCAAAACGTCGTAAATTATGTCACATCGAATGATATGTAATTGAACAATCAAAGTATTTCAGTTTTGACCTTTAAACAAGAAGTATGTATGTATTTTTGTAAGTATGCTAATGTCTACTAAGTAATCTCGGGCCAGTTTCTATCATGTTTTCTTTTAAACGACTGTACACAGACAAGGGGGAAAATCGCAAAAAATAGTAATATGCGAATTCCAAGCTAATTATTAGCTAATTATCCACCCCGTCTGGGTTGGATAAACGAACACCTGATTCCGAGTATCCACTCTATGGTGGATTTCTTAGGATGTATAAACGGAATAACCTTACTTTTGTGGAGATTTGACATTATCGATAATATCTTTTCGAAATGTACTTAACAGGTAAAAGTACGCCTTGTATGCAGCCTTATTCTACTTAGTAACTTTTTTTCAATTTCTAAGTTTCCATAGCTGAATATTCGTCAAATTGTAAGATTTTTTTTGTTAGAAAGAGAGCTAAAAACGAGCTCATAGTCTATTAAATGCTAAGTGGATGCTGTGCGAGATTTTGACCGAATATTGATATTTTGTCAAAATCTCTGTGTATTTCTATTGATGTTCGACAAATATGGTTGAAAATAAAAAATAGAAAAGAATGGGTTCCAAAAGGAAATATCAGACTATATGTATGTGGCGTAATAGCATCCAATATCCCTATCATCCCGTGGGTGTTATACGAGGCTACAGAGGGAAACAAATCCAGAGATGGGCAGTAACGTCTTCATAATAACGACTGAAAATTAAAAAATGTTGCCAGCTCCTGTACGGCGTACGGAAAATATATCCCTACGAGGGAAATCTATGGGGGAGGCCTATGTTCAGCAGTGAACTTTCATAGGTTTTAACAGTAACATAGAGCTGCATTAAGTTTTAAACTACAACACATGCAACCATAAACACTTACTATTAAAATTACATATTGAAACTCATTTTATTATTAATACAAAGTACGCAGGAAAACTGATAACGTCCTTGAGTAGATTTTTCTTCTAGAATAAATATAGTAAACGAGTACAAAGTCCACCTGATGGGAAGTGGATGCTGTGGCCCATAAACATCTACATCTATCCCTGATTAGGAATCAAAATGCTGATACGTTGCAACCCCTGAGGACTAAGATGAAAAGCCTCGTTTATAGGAAAAAGGGTCTCCGGTTCTCTACACTCACCATTCGAAACACAACAACATTGAGCTGCTATTTTGCCCTGGTATATTGTAATATATATTTTTTTGGTTTAAGAAATTTATTATCTCAAGAATTTTACATTCACTTATGAGATTTCATATCTACAGCTTAATGTAAATTTGGTTTGGGCTATTCGTACAAGGTAATAATTTAAATTACAACAAAACTACCGAAAACACACAAAATAAAATGTAGGTGATTTTAAAAATTCTGTTTACCGACAGCAATGGCAATGGACAGCAAAGGTCTTCGTGCAAATTAACTACTACCTAACCTACCTAACGCCAATTTTCACAGATAATCACTGAGTAATAGTAATATAAAGTAGAAATATCGTGATCCTTTCTCGGTCGATCCGGCCCATTCGTGCTGCACCCATAATATACCTACAGCATGACTAGCTCACAACATTTTTACAATAAATAGTTAACAAAAAAGAGTGAAAATTGACATTGTAGTCTCGTTTGATACCTTTTTGATAAACGCTATTCGGTTTTAGTTTTCAACATGCAGCTCACCTGATGGTAAGTGACTACCGGCGCCCATGAACAACCATGAACAACCGTAACACTAAGGGAATTGCAGGTGCGTTGCCAGCCCTTTAGAAAGTAGTAAGCTCTTTTCTTGAAGGTAAGTACAGGCTGTAAGGCATTCCATCTCAGAAGGTGGACTTAGAGGTAACAAAGACCTTCTTTGTTTGAAGTTAGCTGCAAGTTTCCAATGGCAATTTCCAGCTTAAAGCTGCATGAAATCATATTCATATTCCTAATTCGAGGATAAATGTAGATGCCTATAGATCACAGCTTCCACTTACCATCAGGTGGACTTGTTCCGTGTAGGACTTGAACCCGCGTACCGCAGCAATCCAACCAATTGTCAACTTACCCACTTACAAATACCACCGTATATACACCAGCGATGATATGATGATTAAAAATGGGAATATAGGTTCCATTGTGGCGAAATTATACTAGAAGCATAGTATCACAATCTTTATTATATATATATATATATATATATATATATATATATATATATATATATATATATATCTAGGTTGAATATAAGAATGATGATATCAGGACATCAAACATCTCAGTCCACCCGAAACGTCGAGAATTATAAAGTTTTAATTAAACGTAACCATAAAATTAGTTCCATTTAATTCTCGCCAGGAGCCAATGACTCAGCAATAAAGGAAATTTTTCAAGATTCGTAGGTCTATAATATATATTTGAGAGAATTTTAATAACAAAATACTAAAATTTAAGTAGTCGTGGCTCAGGGGCTAAGCGGTATCCTGTAATTTTACATAAAGTATAATTTTTAGCTAAGCAACTCGGGTTCGATCCCCGCTGGTACCAACTAAATTATTAATATCAATTTTAAGGGCTGATTTACAACGTGCTGGGTAAGTGCGTGCGTGGTAAAGGAAAACATCATACTTTCTCGATTATCTGTTCAAAACTTATCATAGTAGCTCTCTTTTGACTTTCTCATTAATAAATGTATTCTTCTTACTATCAAATCTTGGCGGCAATAAGCAATGACCTTACAGTTTATTGACTGCGACTACGCGATCTGACTCAACAAGTTGATTATGCGGTCGTTGAGGAAATCGCGGCGGCTACGTCACTAACAGCTGACGTCTGTTATTACGTAACCGTAGCATATCTCAGACGTTACGCTAAAGATACTAGTTACAAACTCTTAATTTTGTTACTAATGGGTAGCTCAAGCATCACCGCGCCACTATTTCAACATTGTTCAATAGTTATCTGCGTACCGCACAATTTTACTAATTGGGTTGTATACCGCGTCCGCAACTTATCACTTGCTATTCGGCGTTCTATTTGGAGCAAGCTCTTGGTGGTAGCTACATATAGTTTAGAAATAATGAATACGCAAACATTATAAACAAACTTCGTCTAACGAGCTAACTTATATAATTAAGTACAGGAATTTTCGCGTAGGGATGTAACGAAAGATGTTGGTTCTGTGATGACGTAGGTGGTTCAATTTCGGCATAGTAATTAATCATTTTTAGTCTAATCTGCGTAGAACAAACCTATAGTACGAGCTATAGTCTTGAATATTTTCAGAGATATGTTGTTATTATTTAAATATTTCGATGATTTGTTTTTATTATGTAAAAATATTTTTTTTTTTTTTATTAACATTTAACAGCCAGGCACAGTTTAACTATATGTCCTTAGGCTGTGATGCAGGAATCTCATCTCTTCGATTGAAAATTTGAGTTTTTTTTTTATTTTATTCTGATAGTTTCAATAGTATCCTTGATAGTGCAGTAATCGGTGTTCTCCTGCGATGGATGCAATTGCGGGGTCGAACATGTTTACAGACTCCAAACATGTCGAAGCGTTGATACTTCACAACAGCTATATTATGTTCTTTTACGCGGGTTTTTGTCAATATTTTTGTTTGTTTGCGCGATATCACGTGATTAAATGTTTTTTTACTTTTATTTTATTTATTTATTTTATTTAATAGATTCATTGAATAAGGGTGACAAACTAGCACACAGTCCACCTAATGACAAGTGGTTACTGCGGTCCATAAACAACTATATATATTCTCTATAAAGAAACAAAATACAGA